ACCAAAAAAAAAAAAAAAAAAAGAAAGAACAAAAGAAGAAATTCAAATGGCCAAAAAACACATGAAAAAAATGCTCACCATCTCTGGCCATAAAGAAAATGTAAATCAAAACCACACTAAGATTCCACCTACCTTGTTTAATAGGTATCACCAAAACACCACCAACAACAGGTGTTGGTGAGGATGTGGTGATCAGGAACCCTCGTACACTGCTGGTGGGAATGCAAGCTAGTGCAACCACTCTGGAAAACAATATGGAGGCTTCTTTAAAAACTAAACATAGATCTACCATATGATCCACCAATCCCACTCCTAGGAATATACCCAAAGGAATGCGATTCAGGTTACTCTAGAGGCACCTGGACACCCATGTTTATTGCACCGCTATTCACAATAGCCAAGTTATGGAACTAGCCAAGATGCCTCACTACTGATGAATGGATTAAGAATATGTGGTATTTATACACAATGGAATTTTACTCAGCCATGAAGAAGAAATAAATCTTATCATTCGCAAGTAAATGGATGGAACTGGAGAACATCATCTTCAGTGAGGTTAGCCAGGTTCAGAAGACCAAAAATCCTACGTTCTCCCTCATATACGGACTTTAGAGCTAGGGCAAAGGCAGTAATGTTGTTGGACTTGGGTCACACGCTAAGGGGACAGCACATACAGAAGGACTGGGGATAGGTAGGAAACCCAAAACTTGAAAGTGTTTAATGTCCCCGCCGCAGAGGAACTAATACAGTAACCTTAAAATGACAGAGGTCAATATGGGAAGGTGACTGGGAAGTAGTGAAGAAGTCAGGCAGAAATGAATCGATTCAGGTTGTAATACACCTGTGCATGGAAGCAATGCTAGGAATCTCTCTGTATAGCTACCCTAATCTCAACTAGCAAAAACACTATGTCTTTCTAATTATTGCTTATGTCTTCTCTTCAACAAAATTGGAGAAATGGGCAGAGCAGGTTCTGCCTGGAAGTGACAGGGGTGGGGAGGAAAGGGAGAGGGCCAGGGGCGGGGGAGGGGGGAGGGAGAAATGACCCAAACAACGTATGCACATATGAATAAATGAATAAAGAAAGAAAAATAAAGTACTGAAAAGTATTAAAAAAGAAAAAAAAAAGATAAGGGAGGGGGTCTCACTACCTTATTGTCTGGGGTGGCCTTGAACCATGATCCTCCTGATCTCGATCTCCTATGTTGCCTGGATTACAGACCTGAGGAACCACACCCAGCTTATAAAATGCATTTATTTTTTGGCAGTACTGAGGTTTTGAACTCAATGCTTGCTAGGCAGGTACTCTACCACGTGAGCCATACCCTCACCTCTTTTTCATATTCAATGTTTTTTATTATTATTGATATGTGCATACAATGCTTGGGTCATTTCTGCCCCTTCCCCCCTACCCCCTCCCTTACCACCAACCCCGCCCCCTCCCTCTCCCCCCAACCCCCTCAATATCCGGCAGAAACTATTTTGCCCTTATCTCTAATTTTGTTCAAGAGAGAGTATATGCAATAATAGGAAGGAACAAGGGTTTTTGCTAATTGAGATAAAGATAGCTATACAGGGACTTGATTCACATTAATTTCCTGTACATGTGTGTTACCTTCTACATTAATTCTTCTTGATCTAAACTTTTCTCTAGTTCCTGGTCCCCTTCTCCTATTGGCCTCAGTTGCTTTTAACGTATCTGCTTTAGTTTGTCTGTGTTAAGGGCAACAAATGTCAGCTAATTTTTTAGGTGTTTTACCTATCCTCATATCTCCCTTGTGTGCTCTCACTTTTGTCTTGTGATCAAGTCCAATCACCTTGTTGTGTTTGCCCTTGATCTAATGTCCACATATGAGGGAGAACATACGATTTTTGGTCTTTTGGGCCAGGCTAACCTCACTCAGAATGATGTTCTCCAATTACATCCATTTACCAGCGAATGATAACATTTCGTTCTCCTTCATGACTGCATAAAATTCCATTGTGTATAAATACCACATTTTCTTGATCCATTCGTCAGTAGTGGGGCATCTTGGCTATTTCCATAACTTGGCTATTGTGAATAGTGCTGCAATAAACATGGGTGTGCAGGTGCCTCTGGAGTAACCTGTGTCACAGTCTTTTGGGTATATCCCCAAGAGTGGTATTGCTGGATCAAATGGTAGGTCAATGTTTAGCTTTTTAAGTAGCCTCCAGATTTTTTTCCAGAGTGGTTGTACTAGTTTACATTCCCACCAACAGTATAAGAGGGTTCCTTTTTCCCCCGCATCCTCACCAACACCTGTTGGTGGTGGTGTTGTTAATGATGGCTATTCTAACAGGGGTGAGGTGGAATCTTACTGTGGTTTTAATTTGCATTTCCTTTATTGCTAGAGATGGTGAGCATTTTTTCATGTGTTTTTTGGCCATTTGAATTTCTTCTTTTGAGAAAGTTCTGTTTAGTTCACTTGCCCATTTCTTTATTAGTTCATTAGTTTTGGGAGAATTTAGTTTTTTAAGTTCCCTATATATTCTGGTTATCAGTCCTTTGTGTGATGTGTACCTGGCAAATATTTTCTCCCACTCTGTGGGTCAATATTTTTTTTTAAGTAGAAAAATCTGAGCATATGATTGCTAATTGAGTAATGTCTCCCCATAGATACCAAAATATCTGCCTTTCTATTTTCTCATTCACAAAAGTAGGCTAGATCAGAGGCATAAGCTGGGGATTTTAGCAAATATTTGAATACATTAAATGTCAATTTTGAAATTAAAGCTGTATTTTTTCACAGATTTTCAAGAATCCATGACCTAAAAAATCTAAGGTAATTTCTTATGCCAATTTCAGTGATTCTATGAATCAATTATGTAAACTTGACGGAATGTGCTATGTGATTTTTTTACACTTCAGGCAACAACTGAATGTCTATTATGAACCCGACATTGTACAAGGACCAGCAAAACAAGGCCTATACCATCTGGTTTTATAGACAGTTTTATTTGGCATACAGCCACATTCATTACTTTACTAATTGTCTATGGCTGCTTTCACACTACACCAGGAGAGTAGAATAGTTGTGAAAGAAAACATACAGCTTACATAGTTTAAAATATTTACAAAATGACCCTTTACAAAATGTGTTTGGTAATGCCTGTGCAAGATAATGAAGATCAGAGATGACTAAGGTACAACTTCTGATCCAATGGGCACATGGTTTTCAGTTTAACTATATCCTAAATATTTGTACACACACACATCTGAGAAAGCACAAGGAAAAGAAAAGGGAAGAGATAAATATATGACAAAAGCCAGAGAGAAACACCTATACAACAGAACACAAACTTCTGAACTTGCTAACAATCAAGTAAAGTGGCAAACTTTTTAAAGAGTATTTAGTAAGAAAAAAAAAATACCAATTAAGAGACTAAAATAACTAAAGGACAGTAGCTTTTAAAGACATTTTAGCAGAAATTTATAAGCAGCCCACAAATTGCTGGTTCTTATGATGTCCATCAATAAAATCCAAAGACTTTTCAGAAAGCAGACAATTAAAGTGAGACCTGGTATTCCTTTACACTGAGATACAGTGCACAGGATAGAGCTAGGGGTATAGCTCAGTGGTAGAGTGATTGCCTAGCAAATGTGAAGTTTAATCCACATTTGAACATTTGCTGGGTTCAATCCACATCAGAGTTAAAAAAAAAAAAAAGTGCTGCAAATACAGAAGAAAAAATGAATGATAAATAAATAAAACATCATTAAATGGTCTAAGTAGAAACTGTTAACATATCTCACAGGATATGATAGGCCCCTCATCCAAGATTGTTACTATGTATGTTTAAGAAACTGTGAATGCTTCTAGTTAGTTAGATTCAAACTGTTTGGTCTTCCTCCAGTAAGAAATATTACATCAAATCTCAACTCAAGCACACACATACAAACAAGTTTCTTGACATACTACGTTTATTACATGTCATTATGCTATGAGGTTTTCTATTCTATGCTATCTATTTTTTTAAAGGTTTGCCATGACTCACTAAATTGATGTAACGATGTAGTAAGTGGTCTAGAGCCACAGTCAGAAAAAGATTATTTTAGATACCAAGAACAGAACTGAAAAGTGGATGTTAGATTATTTATTTATATCCTTTTGCTATCAGAAAGCCACCTACCCATCAAAGGAATAAAACAAATGCCTATCTATCAACAACACCAAAACTTTCCTCAAAAATCATCTCTGGCTCCATAAACATGCTCAAACTTCAAAACTGTGACTACAGATCCTAGAAGAAACAAATAACCTTGCACCAGAAAATTTTGAAAAAAGAAATTTATCTCTATCATGAAAGAACTTTAATATGATTCCCAAGCAGACAAAGTTCCAAAAAGTCAGTCTTCAAATATTCCCCTTTTTTCCTTTGGCAAAATTAAGTTTAGCTGTTCTGACTCCCATTATTCAGCCAACAGATTCAGTTACTTCTTAAAGCAACTCTCTATGATTTATGTCAGCATAAAAGAGTATATAAGTTATAAATCTTCCAGTTAGGTAAGATAGAAAAGCACATGTTAATCCAAAAGCTACCTTGAGTAGTTCAGGTAGAACACAATTCTGTTTTATGGCACTAAAAATAAGTCAACTGTCTTAATTCTGTAAGTCTAAATTCAAATATGGGCTCTAGAGTGTCATTAGTAGTCTAGAATCTGTTTGCAGTACGTTCAGATTAGCCCACAGAAGGTTCCTATCTGCAAAATCAACAAATGACAACGGCTTTAAATTTTTCTTAAGCAAGTTCTCACTTAAGAGAAACAAAAATCTAGAATGGGGGAGGGGGGAAAATAATTAAATCTAAAACTGACAGTGAAAGGGAAAGGGGTGAAGGAAAAGGGGAAAAAAGAACAAAAAAAAAAAAAATCAATGTGCAAAAACCATGAGCTGGTCTAAGAAATTTTGAGGAGATAAGTAGTTAAATTTGAGAAATAAAAAGGTTGTATACTTCATAAATAAGAATAAGCTACCAGTTTAATTTAATTTATAGTTTAATTCCCCTGGGATTTTTCCCAAGGAGTTAAAAAGAAAAAAGTTGAAAAAGTTCCAGAACTACCCCACTAAGAAGAATTGAAAACATTTAGAAATATCTTTGGGAACCTTCTACAGCTTATAGCAACTAAACTTCCTAAAGGCCAGATGGACTACCAAATTTGTTATATACAGTTAAGAAAAATACAAAGTATCATTATTATCATTATAGCGCTAGCTAATAATGTTCACTTCAAGAGCACTGGTAACTTAGGATGTGTATTTAATAGATGTGTAACTACATAATGGTATACCTAACTTTAACCTATAACAATAGATGGTGCCGGAAGACTGTCAAAAATTAACTAGGTTAAACCTAGTAGAGAGTTTTAACCCTTTGCACAAGACAGAAGTATACAACAATCTCCATCATGCCTCACAAAAAAAGAGGAGTGACTAATCGAAAAAAAAATCAAAAGAAAAAGTGACTGATAAACAACTCTTAATTGTATAAAGGCAGTAATGCACTTTAGCCACAGAGCTGACATACAATAATGGTTTTCTTTCATTGAATATTTGCCAGGTAGATAAAAACATCAGAAAATGAGAGAGGTAATATATAAGGTTTCTTCCCGTTACAAAATCCTATCATTTCATTAATGAATTTTAAATCTTCCAAAGTCAACAATCCAGTGTCTTTTCTCTGTTATCAGTGAGAAGAAGGAACAAAGAGACCATGAGTCTCTGCTTAAAGAGGCTGTAAGAAAGAAACTCAAAGCTTAACTTGCTACAAAAAAAGGATCAAAATCTGACTAAAAGCCATTTGTGAGGGTTCTGGACCCAATATGTTCTGCACATGTATATATAGCCTAAAAGTTTTACAATGGTAAAGAGGACTGAAAATGTATATTCTACAAAGGACTAAAACAATGATCAACAATAACTGAAATTACCTGGTGGTAAGTCAGGATCTGTAGGAGCAGCCTGATGAATTCTTCGGGGTTTCACTGATGATTTTGCATTCTCAGTAGAGCTACGGTTGGTAGAATTAGAACCACAGCTTTCATGGTCATCCTATTTTTTATTTTAAAGAAAGGAGAAACAAATCAATCATATCTAAGACCCAGGAAAATGTTTGTTCATTATGTGCAGTTTATGATTACTAAAGTTATTATACTTCCAATTTTATTTTTTAGCTGTAAAAAACTACATCAGCAAGTTTAAAATTTTGCATTCTTGAAAACCACTTAAAAAAAACTAGTAGTTTAAAACTAAATCCCGGCCAGGTGTCAAGGGCTCATGCCTATCATCCTTGGAGGCTGAGATCCAGAGGATCATGATTTGAGGCCAGGCCAGGAAAATACCATCTCAACCAATAGTTGGGCCTGGTGGCACATTCCTGTCATTACAAGTTATGTAGGAAACAGAGATCAAGAGGATCATACTTCTAGGTCAGCCCAGACAAAACACCTTGTGAAAACTCATCTCAAAAGAAAAATTTGGGCATGGTGGCCCACCTCCATCATCTCAGCAACAGCAGAAACCTTAAAACAGGATATTGTGATCTAGTCTGGCCTGGACAAAAAGCAAGACCCTATATGGAAAATAACAAGAGCAGAAAGGGCTAATGGCATCACTCAAGTTGCAATGCCTACCTCACAAGCACAAAACAAGTTCAAACCCAAATACCTCCAAAAAACCTAAATCCTTATTTCCATTACCTGGCATCAAAATGAACTAACTGACAATATCCAAAGAATTAGTATTTATGGATTTGGCAAAAGAAAAGACTATTTAATGGAAGCTTTTAAACAATTTGCATCTATAAGCACAAAATACACACAAAGGAGAATTAATTTTCCATTTCTTGTTTACATGTCAAATTCTTTCCTGTTTAGAATCCAGGCTCTCTTCTTAATCATTTTTAATGTTTAATCTTAACCATCCTTATAATCTTTTGCACACCATTTAACAATGTTTACTGAATTATTCATACTACATAGGACTTAAATGAATTTTAATACAGATAACAGAAACTTAAATTATACATTTTTATGAAATTTGTCCCCTTATTCATGAAATGCAAAAAAGAATACTCTTTTTTATGCTGATTCAACATCAAATAATACTCTTATGTCCCAAATGTTGGATTTATTTACTAAGATAAGTTAGTTACAATACCTATCCTCAAAGATTTCAGAATCTATAAACACAGTTCTCAGTTCTAAGACAGCAGTATTTTTGTTGTTGTTGTTTTTAATAGAAACATAAACAGACATTCTATTTGGAAAAGCTAGTTTAGGCCCTTAAAACTCAATGTAGGAGGCCAGTGACAGACCTTAGTGGCAAAGCACTTGTCTAACATGAGCAAGGCCCTGGTACCAAAGTGGTGGGAGGGACCCTCAGTGTAGGAATGTTTAGGTTAAGGTTAAGGGTAGAGGCTAAACAAGGTGTGGGGGTGAGACTCATCAGCAAAAGAAAATGGTATAAATATATCTGGCATATTAAAAAGAAAGATGTTTAGTCAAGTAAGGTTGTAGTATGCAAGATGGAAGAATGATACCAAAAGCTAAAGGCATGGACTGGTTTAACAAAAACGGGGTAATAAAAATTCCAAGCACATACTCAGTTCTCACAGTTGAACTATTTCAGGGTTTAGTAATTAGGAGGAGGCTGACAGTAGCCTATAAGAAAGGAGATTAACTGGTTCCAGTAGAGGGACAAAAACTGGAACAGTAAATGAGAAGTTAAACTGGAATTAACAAGCATAGATTGCTCTTTCAAGAAAAAAAAGAAAACAGGCATTAGATAAAGAAAATATACAGGATAGTAATTATGAGGTAAAAGCACCTGGCAACTTCTTATTCCCTTTTTAAGGATAAAAGAGCACATTTTAATTTGAAAAAAGATGCCTGTGTGGAGTCAGAGAAAAGGTACAAACAAAGGTAAATGGCGTCCTGTACATCAATTCAGCCATCAATAATAATATATTTCATAATATTTATAACAATTTAGTAACTAATATTATTTTATAATTTTATAAATGTACAATATTTATACATTTAACTCAGAACTTTTACTTCATATATTTGAAGATTTTCAAGAATAATAATAATTATGATAATAATCACTAAATTTGCCAATCTAATAGGTACTAGAGCTAAATAAGAACCGTGGTAAGATCCCTTTAAAACACAAAAATTCTTATTGAATATAACAATAAGAGAAATATATGTCAATAAATGGTGAGTCTTTTACAAATTAACATGGCTTCAGATGCTAGGGATGCATTAGGGAGAAAGATTAAAATATTTGATATAAGCAAAACTTTAAATATTTGATATCATAAAAAACTTTGCATGAACTTAGGTTCTTCATAAGTTCATACAAAGTAACACCACAGTCTTTCAGGTTCACAATTCACTCTTTAAAATCACATCATCTGTTATTTGGGGGGAATCATTTAGATTTTAAATACTAAAACACTAATACTGAAAATAAAACCTTACTATAATTACTTTTAGTTCAAATATCCTTAAAATGTCCAGTTGTAGACTTCTACACAATGTTAACATTAAAAGCATATTATTAATATTTTAAACATGTGTTCACCTCAAAATTCCAGAAGTAAAATATATTCATTAAAGAGATGTGAAAAGTTCCAAATGAACTGCCAAAACTAACATAATTATGAAAATATTTAACACTGAAATCATAACCTACATATAGATTACAATGATGTCATAATAAACATTCCAGCCAAAACTAAAACTACTGCAGCCCAAAAAATCTGATATAGGACTGGAGGTGCGGCTCAAGCAGTAGACAGCCTGCTTTGCAAGCACGAAGCCCTGAGTTCAAACCCCAGTACCACCAAAAAGAAAAAAAATAAAGGTTAAAAAAATTACTGTTAAAAAAAAATCTGATATACACAAAATAAAGCAAAAGAAAGAATAAGTTATTTTTTTTAAATGCCAGAAGCAAAAATGGATAAGGTACACTAAATGAGTTTCCAAAGAGTTTTATACACACACACACACACACACACACTTACTAAAGATTCCTTACAAACTATAGTTATTCAAAAGGAAAGTGGAATAACTTAAAAATTTTTAATAACCCTGAAATCTTAGTATGCTTAAGAATGAACACTAATCATGCTAGTCAAAGGAATACGTATTGTGAAGCAAACATTACCAAATGTGCAAACATTTTTTTCTTAACTTTGGTTAGGAAATTGTCACAACATACATATTATAATTAGAAAATAATCCTTTTAAAATTTGAATGTTTTCACTTCAATTATATTTTAATCATGACAATTACATACCCAACCAAATTTTTAAAAAATAAAGCAAAACAAAATTAAGCACAGAAAATAAATTTAGTATTTACTACTAAAAATGGAATTGGTGGCATCATATGCTTTTAACCAGTAGACATTACTTTGGACTACACATTCTTACTTTACTGAAAGCCTCCAATTACTAATAAAAGAAACTCTGTTTTCAAAAATACTAGCTAAGATAACTTGAATTAAGTTTTAACTTGGCAAGCAGAAAAGAATGGAGGCACCAGCTCTGGTCACCAAAAGGCTCCTTGAGCATTGAAAGAGGTTGAGATTTACCTCTATCCTCACCAGAAGCAAGTGCTTTGGTAATTTTCAATAAAGAAACCCTATGAATAACACCATACTTTAGAGAATCAGAAAACCAAAAAAAAAACCAACTCAGAAATAAAGCAGGAGAATAAAAGAGAACAAGGAATAACACATTTTAAAAATCTCACAGCATAAGAAAGGTAAAAAAATCTCACAGCAAAAATGGAAATCTTTGGCTTCCTTCTATACCCTAAAAGCTGTATTAGTAAAATTAACTTAGGGCATTGCTATAGTTTGTATGCATCCCCCAAAAGTGTACGAAACTTAACTACCAAACTCCTATGTTGATGATAATGGAACATGGGCCATTCAGAGATAATTAGGATTCAATGAGGTCATGAGGGTGGGGTCCCCATGATGGCTTGAGTGGCTTTATAAAGAGGAAGAGAGACCTGAACTAACATACTTGCTCTGCTTGCAGGTGATGCTATCTACCAGATTGCAGCAAGAAGGCCTTCATAAGATGCTGGTACCATGCTCTTAGACTTCCCAGCCTTCAGAAGAGTGAGCCAAAGAAATTTCTCTTCTTCATAAATTATACCATTGCAGGTTCTTATTTTGCAATAACAATTAAGCAATAACAATTAAGATCATCATTTTTAAAAATACCATCCAAGGAGGAATATGTAACACCAATCTCTTCAAATATCAGCTTCACCCCACAGAAAACAATGCATCAATCTTTTCTCCCGTAAAAGGCTAGGAAAGAAGGAGTGACCCTCCCTTGTATTCTTACCCTTGATAACCTCAAAAAGAGGAATAATTCATCTCATTGACCAAAGCTACACTTTAATAAGGAAAAAGGTGACTATACTCTTGTAAACACTTTGGTGTGATGCGGCTCCTCTTCTATCTCTGCTTGGGAACAGGACCAAATCCACTTTCCTCAGATGACTCAACTATTTGCTATCTCTTCTCTGCATTATTTTCACTCACATAACTACCTGACACAGGACACTGCTCTGGCTACACAACAATCAAACCATGCTAGTTAATAGCAACAGGTTGGTGGTAACTTTTTCTTCATTATCCTTTCTTTCTTTGATGTATATCAGAGTTCTACATCCCTCTCCCCATTTTTTAAAACCAATGAATTGCTTAGACCTGCTCATAGATTTCACTGGGGGAAATTGAGTGCTTGAAAAGATTAATAAAACTGTTTATTTATTATATGTATTTCCCCTGAACAAGTAATGCTTAGGCAAAGATTTTTAAAGTATGTATTAGGCACCTTCAGACACAATGAGTAGTATTAGAAATTGTATCCTTATCCAGGTGTTTTATCTATGTACTTGAAAACAATACAACATAACTTAAAAAGGTTAAGAGCAACTTAAGAGTTAATCAGTTATTTTATCTATCACAAAGAAATAGCAGTTACCTTTATTGAGCACTTATATGTGCCAGGCATCAA